ATTTCTCAGAGCATCTGTGAGTTGCAGGAAATGGTACTAGTGATTCCATAGGCTTCCTAGATCACATTCCTATAAAAAGGAAGGAGTCACAATGCTAGCAGAGATGTAAAATCAGGTTGGGACTGTCGCTGGTTATTTAAAGGTATTGCTATGCTTTCTGTAAGACTGAACATATTACTTGCTGGGTCTTGGCTAAATTCCAGTTTTTCTAATTACATCCTCTTCTCCCCTTCTCAGACATTTTCTGCTGTCACAAGGGAATGCAGCATTCTTTGTTTTCCTGGACTAGATGTCTGGGTAGCAGTGTTTCAATCTCATGGTGATGTCTCTGCAAGATAGATTCAAGTTGCTCAAGATGCAGCCTAACCTCTGCATTGCTCCCTGTAGCATTGCTGCAGAAGGTGAGAAAGGTGGTTTTGGTTCCATTTTTCTCCTTGCTTAAGTACAGACACAAATCTGTTGGTTTGGCTTCCTCCATTGTTACTCCTTTGATACATTAAAAAAAAAATCACTTTCTGGAGCAGTGGGAGGCTTATTACTTTAACTCTGCAAAGTACTTTAAGACGGTTTTAGTCAAAATGCAAAGTGCTGTTATCCCAATAGCAATGCTTTCAGAGAAGTGACTGGCTTCTGCTTCCAGCCTGATGAACTGGCGATTGTAGCCCTTCAATGGCATTTTGACAAGCAAAATCCAGGAGGGAGTTGTAACTCTGTTAGCTGCTTGATGAACTGTCAAGAAAGCACTGAAAGCTAACAGGGTGGGTAGGAAGAGAGGTAACTATTTAAAAAAATAAAAAGAAAAAAGAAAAGAAAAGAAAAAAAGGGGAAAAAAAGAGCTACCTGGTGCTATTTACATATTGTTTTCTTTGTGGGTACAACATTTGTTGGCAGAGAAGCACCTACAAGCCGGTTACTTAGGAGCACAGGCAAATACTCCACTAAAGCAAAATCTGATCTTTTCAGTCTAGCAGCCAGCTGTGGACACAAGCTAATATTTCAGAGAACAGTCTGGTGAAAATGTCCACAAAGATCTGGCTAAATGCATGAAAGAAATTAAACTATTTCTTATCTGGAATGCTCCTTAAACAGAACTGAGGAACTTGGAGAGAAGCTGATAAAGTTGCGCTACAGTTGCCAGAACTACAACTTTTTTTTTCTGTGTTTGGTGGCCTTCTCTGGCACTCAATCTGCATCTTCTTGGAATCTGGACTTTTGGTGGATTTCATTCATCTTTCTTCTGAGGGCTTTCCTTTGGTGACAGCTGACCTGATTACTCACTGCTTTGTGCCTCTCTACTGAGACGTACATAGTGAGTAAAGTGCTTTTGTTTGTGTGTTACATCATCTTATATGTTTCCTTATACCCTGTTTGCTCAGGAGTGCAAGATGGTTCATGCATCAGGTATTAAAAACAAAAAAAAAACTATGGCCCCCCCCTCTTCTTCCTTTTTTTTTTTTTTTTTTTTTTCAGAAAGTGTTCAGACATTGCAAAAGGACCAACAGCACAGGAGAACATGGGTGAAGGAACATGACATGGGCTAAAACACTTATGCCAGTTTCATGCTTTCATTGTGGAGCCCTATAGCAGGCAGGATTTGGCAGAATGAATTTAACCTGCATTAACAATCAGAGTACATACTTGCCGTGTCAGGAGCTCTTGCACACTCATTAATAGAATCAGCCTTTGGTGCCTTGTGTTCACTGATCGTGGTGCCCCATGAAGATGCGATTAAGTTGGCAGTGGTGTTTTCCTTTTGTTTTGCTGCAGGAAAGCAGAGGCAGATCTGGGGAAGCAGAGGAGAATTAGCAATGCCTTATCATGCCCCATCCCCAGACCTATCTCAGAGGGCATCTGTTTCTTGTCCTGATCAGAGCAGCCACTACCTTATCAACACCACAACTGCCTCCAGCCCCTAAGGACATCTGGAACCCAACCCAAGGAGCACACGGCCAGGACTGCTAGCTGTAGCCCTCTAAGCCTCAGCACAGCAGAGAGAAGAATGTCCTCGTGGAGCATCTCCATCTGCAGCAGCCACAGAGCAACTTCTCAAGCGCTGGCTTGCTCTGCACTGCCACTCTCCACCTTGCATCTGTGCAGGCAGCTCTGCATCACCCCACGGGGTAATTCTTGGCTACTACTTCAGGCAGTGACAGAGCACTGTTACATGGTTAAAACTCTTCAGCTAGGGGCTGAGATCTGGTCTCATGTTTTATTCGTGCAGATTCTGTCTCCCCACTCCAGAAAGCCAGGCCCCTCTCTCTGCTAGTGAAACTGTTCACTTCCCTCTTGCTCAGCGCTGTGCTTCTGGGCTCGCATTTCCACCGAGTACCTTCACTTAGCAGCTGATCGGCACTAATCATAAGTCCAGCTTCTCAAGAGTGACACGTGGGAGGCAGAAGGAAACTGTAGGTCCATCTAATTTCATCAGTCTATTTTGTTGTACTGAATATTTGTTTTTCAGTACCAGCTCCCGTGAAAGGAAACAAAAATATGAGAAATCTAGCTTCTTTCCCTTTTCTTTTTTTTTCTTTTTTATCTTTAATCTTTTTTGGTAAGATTTTAAGTTTGACTCATCTTTCCTAGGCTGATTGTCAAGTAACTGACAAATCAGTCCTGGTTGACAAGTGAGTAATTTGGAGAAGAGAGGGGGTACAGCAGGTGTCAGCACTAATTTGGTAAAACAAAAAAAAAGAAAGAGAGTAGAGAGTGGTATGATAGTCACTTACACAGTGATGACGTTACGAGCTTTTCGTATAAAATGTGTGCCGGATTTTACAATGCTTAGAACATTAACCATTAGCCAGCCACTTGAACCCCATTTCGGGGGTGACCTACAAGTTCACCGCTAGAAGATGTGTTTGAATCTTTTACCATGTGGCTGGTTCGAAACACTCCTGGGGAACTGAGGAAAAAAAAGTATTTCTCACGTTGATGGATTCCCAGAATAGCCCTTCAAACAGGCAGACCCTGTGCCCTGTCCCTTGACCATCATATGCTAGGCAGGACCATCAAGGACACCTTTGTGCACAGCTGCCTTAATTCTCCCAAACTGTGAGTCTGGACAGTCCCTGCTCATTGCTGACATGCTGGTTTTACAGCACCACCTAAATCTCTCGTGCTAGGGGGAAGGAGTACAATTTGCATCTCAGAGTTCCTCCGGCTCAGGCAGGAACTGTCTAAGATTCTGCTCTCTTCTAAAAATCAAACCCTTGGAAATCAATTCTTTCACCCACCTGCCAAATGCGCCACTCTTGGCTCCGTGTTTCCTTGCTTCGATCTCAGCTGTCATTGAAGCTGTTTCAGCAAGCGACCTGTATTCTTGTTTTGATCCCTGTAATGGTGCTAGCGACTGCAGGCCAAATAAAGGCAGATGCCTAAGATGCACTTTTGCTCTGAAGTATCTGTGCAAATAGCATTGTGATGTTTCATGTTTATTTTCTGGTAAAGACTTCACTATCTTATATGCTCTATCTTAGAGAGATAGAGAGAGGGGAAAAAAAAAAGAAAAAGTGCTTTTCTTCCTCATCTAACTGCCAATCCTGAAAATTCACTGGGGATTCATAGAAAAGCTGAGTGTTTTCCTGGCTTCTGTGCAGTTACAAAGAAACCAGAGGTTGCAGGACAATCTCCGCTCTGGCTTTCATCCATCCACTGCCTTGAAATCCTGCATTGCTTTCATGCACGGATTATTTGGGGTGGAAGTGGCCTGCAAGGCAGATGCAAGCAGCAACCATATTTCTAAGGAATGGGGCTAGAAGAGAGCATCGTACCCTCTCCTGAACTACTAAAACTTTTCTCTGGCTCAGACCTCAGCAAATCACTTCCAAATACATAGCAGTGGGCAAGCATTTTTTCCTCTGCACTTTTCAGAAGATAAGTGCAGTTTATTGGAACACAATGTTTTTTTTTCTTTAAACAAAAAGCAAAAGAGGCATCTGCCCCAGCTGGGTGGTGTGGCCCCCACTGTGCAGCGTGCAGATCTGGTGAGGAGCACATCCATTTAACCACTCATGCCATGCACTTTTGGTCAACAGGCAGGAGAGGTGTCAAGAACCTTTGCAGATTTAAATCATCAACAAACTACAAGTCATCCCACGAAATCGCCGTGACCTTCTGCCACTCAGCCAGTGGTGCCGAGGCCGGTAGTCCTGGCGCTCCGGGAGCCGTCAGGCCACTCGGGCTCCCTGATGGAGCGCGGTCCTGACGGAGTGTGATCACTATGGCAACCTGCAGGTGCGGGATTCGTGCAGCTCCAGGGGATCCTGGTCGTGTGCTCGCGTCAAGCGAGCGGGGCTCCCCTGCCCGTGCCTGGGAGTGCTCTGGGGAGGAAAGAGCCTGTGGCTTTCCTGCTGCTGCTTCCTGCCACCTCTCAGCAAGATGTTTGTGCTTTAGGAGCACTCGTTGGCTGTGATTTTTCACAGCTTTTTGGGGGGACATGAAGTGAGAGATGCTCCTCTATCTCCTGTCTATCTAGAGTTCCTGGGGGAAACATGACACTTGCAAGACTGTAATGCTGCACTCCCAACTCCAATGCTCCCAGCCCAAGTGGAAGGCAAAGCGCTTGCAGACCCTGTGCACGCCGCGTGCCTCTGCACGTGCATGCGTGTGTGTGCTTGCGTGCAGGACTTTCCTTCACTACTATGACAGCACATGCTCCTGCAAAGCTATTCAAGGCATTAGCCATGCAACTCCTCCCTGCGGTGCCCCGTGTGTGCGAGCGGCTCGGGTTTGCTGCCGCCTGACCGCAGGGCTGCGGGCACGACTCTGCGCTCCCGCTGACGGCGCCAGCAGCAACGCGCTCCCCGCACAGCGGGAATTGCACAGGGGAGGAGGGAAAGGAGGGAGGGAGGAGGGAGAGGAGAAGGAGAGGAGGAGGAGGAGGAGGAGGAGAAGGGGTGGGGGGGAAAAAGGAAATCCAGAGAATTCCAGTCTGGCAAATGTAGTGAAACAGCGTGATCGGAGTTCATTCGCTCTAGGAGAGCAGGGAAGAGAGCGGACATTAAATCGAGCAGCGGGAGAAAGATCTGTGGCTCTTTTCCTGGTAGGAGCAGCATTTCAGAGGTAAAATGATCCCTCCGAGCAGCGCAACCGAAGTCGACGTGGACAGCGTGGAGAAAGAGCATGAAGCAGAGAGCACCGAGCAGCCCCCCTCCCCAGCATCAACCACCAGCCAGGAATCAAAGGTATCCAGAGAGCAAGGTTTCCTTTTCTTCCCCGCTCTGTGCTTTCTTTGCTTTAAAAAGGGATGTGCTGCTTTGGGTTTTACAGGGAGTCCTGTGGCAGGATCTGAAATAGGCAGCTATAAGTGACCCCAGTGTGACAGTCGTACTTCTGAGACCTGGGAAGCTTGGGGTGCCGAGATGTTGGGGCTTGGGGGGTTTTCCTTGTATTTTCTCCTCCTTATTATGGGGGGTGGGAGAGCAAATGGAGAACCATGGAGGGGGTTGATCTCAGTTGATATTTTTAGCTGTCATCAGCCCAGAGAGTTTTCCTTGGGGAAATCGGGGTATTTCACCTGCCTCACCTCCTCACAGACCCATCAGTGAACTTTTATTGTTCAGCAAGCCAGCAGCTGAAATGAGATAGTGGTGACAGTTTTGGCACAAGCATCTTGTTCACCACTCAAGAAAGAATATTCTAACCCCTCCACCCCTAGCCTGTTACTTACTTATTAATTATTAAATGTGGTTCAATTTACCTTGCTGAAAGGCAACAGCCCGCTCAAATGGCATGGTATGGCCTCTAAATTTTTAATTGAGTTGCATATGAAAAGTTTTTCTGTCAGCCAGCATGTGACTAGGAAAAGAGAGAGAGGTAAAAGGAGAAAAGTAACCTTTCAGAGTGAATGCTTTTTGTAGCTTACCTGTGTAATGTACTTTTACACATCCATAGCATGATAGCATTTGACAACCCATCCTGTGGACCATATTCCTAGCGCTGCTATGTGCTGTGCAAACATGAAAATAGGGAGGTCCTTGCCACTAGGAGCTTGCCGCTGGGCAGTGCCTTAGGAACTACCGTGTGAACTGAGCAGCTGCTTGACAGAGATGGTCGTGTTGCCCCTAGTTTAAAGGCACCGGCTGCCTGAGCCTAACGTAGGAAGAAGCTGTGTTATTCTGAGCTATAATGAGGTTTCCGTGGAGTGAATTGCAATAATCTGTCTGTGTGGGTAGAGTTCTGACGTGAGGTTCGGGATCTTTTTTTAGATGCTGTACTCCAAAGAGAGCTAAGGTATTCCCTGCGTGAAACAGCCTCCTTAAAGAAAAGAGGTCTCACATCACCAGCTATTCACCACACATATGCTGAGCACTACTGGGACGTTGCTGTACTGTTCCTTGATAATGGGAAATAATGAGTTTAAAAGGGTCATTTATTTAACCTCTGCTCTGTTTGCACCAGTACCCAAAAGAGAGCACTTCCCTGGAGTTACTGGTTTGTTATTTGGCTGGTGAGAAGACCATCAGTCTGGTGAGGTCCCAGGAGTGAGTGGTGCCTCCACGGTGCAGCCAAAGCCACCTTCTTACGTGTGCCATGTCCAGGGCTGTGCAGGCTGCATGCTCCATCTACTGCAGTCCTTGCCCCTTGCCTGGTACAGGGTTACGGTGCTCAAAGTGCGATTTTCATCATCAGATGACAACTGCGTCCTTGAGGTGCTCCCCATCAGGTCACTGAGCACTCTGCCCAGCGTCCATTGGCCAACAGGACTCCAAAAATAAGAGAAAGAGAAGTGCAGCGTGCAGGATGCCTTTTGGCTGCTTCTACATTTGAGGCACTCACAAGGATGAAAATAGGAATTAGGCACATCTGGAAAAAAAAAAGAGAGAGAGAGAGGGATTACTCACTAGTTTATAATCAAATGTTATCATCATTTTTGCCAGTCTTGTGAGCATTTGAAGTGATGCAGGGGAGCAGGCGACCGCTTTGAATGTCTGTGCAGATCAGTCGATGCCATTATTTGCATGCAGATATTTTCAGTAAATATATAATCTGTGTATTTACATTTTAGGACTGAAAATATGATCAGAAAGCATGCTGTATTGTTCTTTTAATAGATGGTGTCAAAAGAGGCTTCTGATCACTAGGGTAATGATATTACATTTGTTTTTTGTTGTTTTCTTCCAAACATGAGGATGAAGGAATTCTCAGTGATTTTATAAACCTATTGTTTGTGCTGTTTTTTTTCCAAGGGAATTGATGGGCTTCAGAAGCTAGAGGGTTTGACACATGCATAAGTTGTTCTGTGCCAAGGGCCTGCTCGCAAGCCTTTATCTCATGGTGTCCCTGCTGAGGGAGCTGTCCTGCCATTCATAGAGGACTCTGCTTTCTTCAGGTACCCCTCCATTGCATAAGGGAACAAGTCTGTGTCCGCTGCAGTTATTGCAGAAGAGTTTATGCAGTATCTAGTTACTATGACTTGTTTCTGTGGCAAAACCCTTTTATGACTCCAAATCTAGAAATAGAAACAATATGGATAGTAGCCATCAAAATGTGCTGGAAGCGCTTCAGCAGAAATAAAACTTTGAAGAACTAATGTAGAACTTGTGTAGCAAAGGTCTACTTCCAGTCCTGTTTAATCATGGACAACTGAAGCATATTACAGTACCAAAGTCCAGGAAATGTGTCCAGCTAGCACAGTCTAATCTGCACTGAGGAAATGGCACAGAGGACATACTGTAATTCCTGACTAGTGTGAGTTTGAGAGGCAGAAGTTCAGAAGTAGCTGAAATTTGGAAGAATGTAAAGCATGACTCTCATGCTTTAGTCACACACCCCTTCCGCAGTAGTGTCTCTCACTCATAATTAACACCAAAGTCTTATATCACCTCTTCCTATGGATCAGGAACATGCTTAGAGGTGAGCCAACTCAGATGCTGAACGTTGAGTGATCACATCCTTACGCACACGTTTCCTCACCTCAATGCCAGTATTACTGCTTAAAATAAAGAAATTCAAATGCACTTTTAATATGCCACGTTGCATGGACCCTAGTAGGAAAGCACAAATGTGTTTCTAGAACCTGCCTGCACATTGCTTATGGGGTAGTATATATGTGGCCATATCATGTGAATGTGTCTTTTGGATTGTGTGTCCTCAGTCACTTTTTATGCAACACCCCTAGTGTATTATTTCAAACAGATGTCCAAAGCGCAGCAAATATTGTAACTGGATCTTCCTGTAGCAGTATATATACTGCTGCTGGGCTTAGAACTCCACAGCACAAATTTAGGAATGATGCAAAATTATAATTAATGACTTAATGTAATATATTGGCTCCCTAAGCATTTACATGACACCTATCTACTACTTGAGTGGATACTTATGTTATACCAGAAGCAGAAATTTAGAAGGATACCATATAAATACATGTAATTGCTAATTCTGTTATGTGCGTGCATTTGTCGTTTTGGATCCTTCATGCCTGTCTTCTAAGAAAACAAATGGCCAATTTGTGGAAGAATTGACTTCAACACAGGAGGAAGTCATTAGTTAATGAATCCTAATGGGAGATTTCTTCCTGGTGATAGCAATTAAAGATATGCTGCCTACTTGTATAATCACTAAGTTAGCAATATAGCAAATCTACTAACAGTGGTTAGATCTTATTCCTGATGCCTCCTGTGTGAAGATACCTTGAAATTTAATAAAAACAAAATCTGGGGGCCTATGGGTGAGCTTAAAGAAAAGATTCCCACACTTGGTAATATTTCTTTACAATTCAGCAGCTGGCCTGTAACCATGTAAGCTTTGTCCTTCTTATACTCAACTGACATTTCTATGTGTAGAGAAAAGAGACCATCTGCTGATTTCACTAACAGTGAGTCAAGTCATGACTTCTGTGCTTTGAATAATATCTGGGAGCACTCGCAGGTGCTAGAGGTGAGCACCGTAGAAAATACCGTTCCTATTTTTAAGTTTTAGAGGGGCCTGAGCTTCTGTGATGTTTCAGTTAATGTCAGCAAGTTTGGTCAGCACTGCTGATCTTCAAGCCCTTACTGTTTCATTTCAAGTATATTGAACACCTGTCAGGTGTCTCTCATACAGCACAGAAGAGCCGCTGGGGTATTAATTATGTGCCATTGCAGGCAGTCTGTCAGGTACAAGTTACTTATTTGTAGACCAGTGGACACCTGTAAAGGACAAGTGTTCTTTCACCACATGGCCCATTCCCATTTACTTTCTAACAAGTCCAGTTATAATTGTCATATATTGTGGTCACGTATATGTGGGTGTGATAGGTTTAAAGTTTTTTCTGAAATTTGTTGGCTCAAGAAATAGCTTACTCTTCAGTCAGTTAGGTGGAATGAATAGCTAGAAAATGAGAAACTAGACCTCTAAATAAATATGGCACTTGGGCTATCACAAAATAAATGAGTCTGTCTCAGCCTAACACTTCTCTATGCTGGCTAACCAGTGGCAAGTGTGCAGGTAAACACAGCCAGTTCTCTTTAAAATCATTTCTGGCTATTCAGAAAATTTAGCGTAATTGTTTGAGCACTAGTTTGACCTGGCATTTAGTATGAAGTTGCTGAACAATAGTAAGTCAAGAAGAAAGATTCAGTATGTAAGTTCAAGATGTAGGTATTTATGCATATCCCCAAATCAGTGAAGAAATCTGAACTTACTTTCTTCTGTTCTGTTGGTCCAACAGAGGAGTATTGTTGATGTGAAGTTTCAGAACCAGGTGTTAATATTACGTACTTAACTACCATAAAAAGCTTGAAACTCTTTGGGCTTTAGAAGGATTTTATGGCATTTAAATCATGCAGGATTTGTGCTAAGCAGAGATCCGCCCTGCTTAAAGAGTTAATACTTTATGAGGTTCCATAGATGGTTACTGGTCAATGAATATTTAAAAAAGGCAGGGAGTATGGTATACAGTTAGTGTTTCACCCTCCACACTACTGATAAATATCCAGTATGCAAAATACTGCTGCAGTTGTCTTCAAGGAGTATCAAAACAGCTTTAACAAATCCTGTGAAAGGGGAAGAAAACACCAGCCCTCTCTCTTTAGTTACATGCCGCTGCATAAAATGGTGAGTATATGCTGTGAAGGCAAGACTAAGGGGAAAGTATTTTTATGTTCTACTTTTCGATGCAGTGTTAGAGCAAATTATGTAAAGATAGATGTCATTAAAAGCAAGAAAATAATATTGTATTGTTATGAATAATTTCTTCAGCATA